CATTGGAGCAATGGGAAGTGGGGTTCTGGTCAGGATAGACTTGAAAAACAGGGTCTACTTTCAATAGAATGGAGAAGGTTAAGAGAGGATCTAACGATCTAATTCTTTTATTTAAATGTGGTTTCTACAATTCCATTCCGTAAACAATCCTGAGCAGCTGTGTCCTGCTCAGTGGAGCAGTCGATCTCATTAGACAGTCAGCTCTGCCTTGGTTTAGCCATCTCTCCCTGGGGTACTTACTGCATGCTGGAAGCTGGAATAATGTCTACAATCATCTGTGAGTCTGAGGATTCTTTCATCTCAGCGCACGTGTGCTGCTGCGCTTCAGCGGCAGGGAACCATTTCACACACGACCGACATCTGAGATGTGAGGCGTTTTTTTTTGAAAAAATTCAATCACATTATTAATATTTTATGGTTAGAAAAATGTCTGGATATTCAGCATTGGTGGGGATGAAATGAAAATTGGGAAACAAAAGTACATTTTAGCCCAATGTAGTTTCATTCCCTTATTAATAATCCCTTCAAAATAATAATAATTTGGTCACTCAATCCAAGATTGTTTGTGGGACACTGCTGTGTGCAATTGGCTGCTGCGTTTTGCCCACAAACTACACAATCACTACACTTTACAGTATATTCTGTGAAGTGCTTTGAGACGTCGCGAAGACGTGATAATGTGCTGTATCAAATGCAAGGATTATTATTAGTAGTAGTATTCCCACCAGAGTATTTGGCAACCATTTTGCATCGTAGGGCTCAGCAAGCATCCAAGCAGACGGCATCTCCACTGAAAGATAGGGACATCAAATGGAGCATTTATGCGCAGTACTGCACTGCATTGTTGGAGGTACCATACCTTGGTTAGTTCCCATTTGCAAAATCCCATCTACCTGTTAGGTGGGCACTAAGTAACCCATTATTGGAAAAGAGATGTCCCAGTATCCTAGCCAACAATCCTAACCCTGCAAATGATAAAAAAAAGTCAATTATTTTACTTACGTACTTAATGGAGAGTTTGGGTTTAGCATCTCTTTGCTGGAAGACTTACTTCAGGCAGAATTTCCTCAAGCTCCAGTCCCACAATTCCATCTCTCAATCCCTAGAATTCTTTTTAAAAATTTTCCTTCTTCATGACGTGATATACAACCTCATTTTTAAACTTTTAATTAACTGATGTTAATGAGGTGTGATTTGCTGGTTGTGGTTTGTTTTTAACGCTGTCACAAGTGAAAGGAACAAGTTGGTCGCGAGCATTGAGTGGCTTCCAGATTTAGCTTCCTCATCACAGCCTCCAGAGCCTTTCAGGGCAAAATGTATTTACTAATGAAGGAACATAGCATCGTGCTAGGGAGCACTAGAATAATAATAATCCTTGCATTTGATATAGCGCTTTTCAAATTTTCGAGACATCTCAAAGCACTTCACAGAACATACTATAAATTGAATTGATTGTATACTTGTGGGCAAAACACAGTAGCCAATTGCACACAGCAGTGTACCACAAACTGTCGTGGATTGAGTGACCAAATTATTATTGTGGTTTTTTTCTTGAGGGATTATTATCAGGCGTGTGGAGTAAGGTAACTTGCCCAAGGTTTCACTACTGGGAATTGAACCCAGGTCTCTCGCTTGAGAGGCGAGTGCTCCAAGCACTAAGCTACAGGACTCCACTGCACTGCAATTCTCAGAGGTGCATTCGTTCAGTTGAGTCTTTAAACCAATGTCCCTTCTGCCTGTTTCGGTGTCCTTTCAATAACCCAAGGCATGATTTGAAAAAAGAAGAGAAATTCATCTGGTGTCTTGGCCTACAATCCTCCAGATTAATTAGTCATGCACTTCACGCACTTGCTGTGCATATAAATGTCCCCCCACTGTATTTGCCTATATAAATGGTCACTACGCTTGCCATTAGTTATCTTTGAAATGCTTTGAGAGGAATGGCATGTCCTGCTGACGTGAAAGGCGCCGTATAAATGTAATTCGTTGTTGTAGGTGATTGGACACGATGAGGCACAATAAAAATTCAAGTTCTTTCCTACTAGAAATCTAGTTTGCCCATTAGACGATACCATACTAATAAAGAGTGTGTTTGTTCCCTCAGGCTGCAGTGAATGTGTCACTGAGCCCTGAGGTAGGTGCTGCCAAGGCTGCTGGGAGAGGCAGATGCACAGCAATGTTCAGTGTGAATGTTTAGTCTCTTGAGCAGGTGCACAGGGACCAAGGGTTTCTGTGATGAAGCTGCTGAAGGGAGGGAAGGAGGAAGAGCTCAGCAACAAATCAAATGGATCACATGGCAATTGAGCTACATTCAGTTATTAGAAAACAGGCACTGGCTTCAGTGTTCCTTCAGTTAGTGTTGATCGAAAACAATCCTGCTGCACGTGAGCTGGTAAAGAAACACAGACACTGGTATTCCGCTTCGCTCTGTTTTCCATCCATAGTATCTGTGATAGTTTTATTGTATATTATAAAGTACCTGTTGATTCATAGCAACATAGGAACAGAAAGAGGCCATTCATTCCGATGAGTCTGTTCTGCAAGTTTATTAGATCAGATTGATCCCATTTTTTCTGCAGAGAAATGTAATGTGCAGAAACAGACCAGTCAGGACAGTAAGCGTACAGTGGTATTTGGCATTTTTCTCCATTTGATCTAATCCCACTCTCCTGCTCACTCCCCATATCTCTCAATATTTCTCGTAGCCCCTGATAATAATCCCTCAATAATGGATGGTCACTCAATCCATGATTATTTGTGGGTCACTGCTGTGCATAATTGGCTGCTACATTTTGCCCTCAAGTATACATTCAATTCACTTTTCAGTATATTCTGCGAAGCACTTTGAGACGTCTAGAAGACGTGAAAAGCACTATATCAAATGCAAGGATTATTATCTGTCTAACTCCCTTTTAAAAGAATTCATGGATTCTGCTTCAAAATTGGTTTATGTCGGAGAATTCCACATTCCCAGCACCTTCGAACAGAATAATTTCTACACTGCCCATAAATTCTATTTGGGATTGTCTTTAATTTGTGCCTTCTGGAGTGTTAAATTGGTTTAGCACCAAGAGGCATGAAAGACTGTGTTCCAGGAATACAGGAAAGTGTGCAAGTTCTTGCTAAAGGGAAGCTGTTAAAATGATCTCATAGTTTTACCTTACACTGTTCTCAATGTAAACACCTTTGAATGGGTTTCAGAGAGTGATGTGTCCGGGAGAGAGATCTGATAGTGAGGTGAATTCTCCAGACTCTTAACATTATCGCCCTGAGAGGATATAACAATAATCCTTGCATTTGATATAGTGTCTTATCAGGTCGTTGAGACGTCTCAAAGCGATTCACAGAAAATACTGTAAAGTGGATTGACTGTATATTTTGTGGGCGAAACAAATGCTTGGCAATGAGGAGCCAGTGGCTTGGGCAGCATTCTCTTGCGTGAACAGGCTGAACTTTCACAGCTCAGTTGACCCAAGGTTAAAACTCACAGAGACTTGCGATATTTGCAGAATTAGCTGTAGTAAAACAGAAGCTTTACTGTATTTTTCACCATTGTGTAAATGGGGGACCGATTGTGAACTGGAATTANTTTTTGTCAAAAGAATTCATTGAGGTCCAAGACTATGTTATTGGTAAATATCACCCTTGTGTTTCTCAGTAAATGCAGGAAGTTCAAGAATCTAAAAGGGCAGGTGTTTCTCACAGCCTAGAACTGACAGCCCTGAGTGAGTCTTTGTAGGGAGGAAGAGCTTATCTTATAGCTTCTTTCGAATGAGTGAGTCACATCATGAACCTTCCTAGACAGTACTCTACCACGTACAATTGCAAGGGACATTGACATTTGTTTTTTTTCTTTGGATGATTTAATCTTGCTTTTAGACACTGGATCCTGATGATTGGGAGATCTGGCTAGAAGGAGATAGACTGATTGTGAGAGAGTTTAAATTTTCGCACAGTGCCGTTACAGACATGAATCCAGGGATAATTCAGTACCAGCTGCCCTTGTTAATTCCGCTCGGTGTCAGCCTTGGTAACCTTTCAAGCTGCCGTCCCTGAATGCTCTTTGATTATTTAAAACCAATTCAAAGGCATGTAATGGACCAAAAGCATGTCGGTGTTTTTATAATTCACTGTAAATAATATCTAAAAATTATCTTGAAATGGACACTGAATCTTTTTAGGAATATTTGATAATTTTCAAATGCAGAAATCAAACAGAACAGTGCTATTGCACCATGGACTTGCTGCAGTAACGATCAGGAACCATTGCACAGAGAGAAGAGCAAACCATCACGTAGCCTATCACATTTATGCATCATTTAATCTCTTATACAGTTAAAGGTATAAGGTCCATCCAGGGTAGAGCTCCAGGGTCTGTTTAAATAAACACCAAACACATCAGAGCTGCATGAATTATTAAAATGGGCATATTTCAATTTATTAATTTAGGTCTCGAGGTGTTATCCAGTGCTGAGGCAGGAGGGGAAACAATACATAAATCAATCAATCAATCAATCAAGCAAGCTTATATTTGGTATAGCACCTTTCCCATCGGGAGAATGCCTCAAAGGACTTCACAGGATATATTGTATTTTTGTGGACCAAGAAAGAAGGGAGAAGGAGAATCAATGTAGAATTGTGTTATATAGTGCCCTTCACACGTCTCAGAGCAGTTGACTAAACATTGTTTTTTCCAACTTTAGTTTGTAATGATAGGCAGATGGCTGGGAGTGAGACAGACAAAAGGCCTCATCCTTGCTGAAAGTATGACTGTGCATCCAGAACAATAGCTCATCAAATAGAATACAGTGTCTTTGATGTATTTGCACAAATATTTAATGCCAATCAATAATTGACAGATTTATTTAGTCTGTGTATTTATTTGAAGAACACATTTTAGAGGCGGGGGGGCAAAGGGTGTACTCTGTGTGTTTGCTGTGTAGTCACCAGGAGTATGGATCCAAACTGACATGTTCTTGTTGTTCTTCTTCATGTTGCAGAGCTGAAAAGACTGAAGTATTAAGTGAAGATCTGCTACAGGTAAAGCCTCGAGGGAGCTATCTGTTCTCTGTATTATCAGTGCTTCAAAGTCTCTTTCAATAACAACAACTTGTATTTATATAGAGCCCCTCATGCAGGGTAGCGTCCTAGAGCGCTTTCACCCTGTATACCTTCTAGACAGTTTGAACCTGCAACTTAATTAAGTAAGATGGTCTGCATTTATATATCACAGTGTATCCCTTCTTGAAGTATGATTCCTTCTGCCTGGTTTGTAGTTTACTGTGCATCCCCATTATAAGGCAGAATAGTATTAGCTTATTTTCATTGTCCAGTGAGTAGGCAATGATTGGGTATGCATTTTGAGATATTCACAAAAAAAATCTTGACGCACAGGGAGATGGGAATGTGGAATTCTCTTTCACAATCCATATTTAAGTCAGAGTCCATCAATATTATTTAAAAAGGAAATTAGGTTGATGCTTGAAGAGGAAGAATACTAAAGGGTCTGGGGAGTGAGAGAGTAGTATCAGACTGGATGATTCACATGAGGAAAAAAAAACACCAGAGCACATTTGCTGGCCCATGGCTATTTCTGGCTGTAACATTCTGTAGTTTAATTTAACTTTCAAGCTTCAAAGTGTCTTGTTCATCATAGAAACAGGAGTAGGCCATTCAGCCCCTCAAGCTTGTTCTGCTATTCTATAAGATCATGGCTAATCTGTACCTCAAGTCCAATTACCCGCTCTTGCCCCACATCCCTTAATATCCTGACCTAACAAATAGCTATCTACCTCAGTCTTGAAGATATGAATGGATCAACATCCACAGACCAGCAGAACCATTTCCTACTATCTGACCAAACTTAAGTGAGAACGGTTTAGTTGGTTACACTTGTTTTGCTTCTTGCTTGCTTACATCTTGCTTGCTTTCCCACATAGGTAGAGAAACGTCTGGAGCTGGTAAAGCAGGTATCTCATAGCACTCACAAAAAGTTAACGGGATGTCTCCAGGGCCAGCAAGGTGTGGACTCCGACAAGCGCTCAGTACGTTTCATTTTTATCTTATGAACACAATCGGACTCATTGGCTAGGGGGCTGGAGATTCATTGGCAGGGGGCTGGTAGAGTGTTGGCTTGTGCCAGTGAATTAGCACATGTGGATCCCAATCACAGCTTGAATAATCTCACTAACTGGGTCCCAAAAGAAGTGAATGTAAAATCAAGATGTTAACATAGCACTTGGGCTCTGAGGTGTCAGGGAGCAGGTTACAGTAGTGGTGCTACTCTGAATTATTAATACATTGATGAAAAGTTTTTGATATTTAATTCATTATTTTTCAAAATAAGTTTCTTTTGACTTTTGCAGCAGAGCAGTTGAGTTATCGATCAGAGTTTTTTATTTGCAATGTTGTTTCTGCTATAGTCGACCCACTCTGGGATTCGTAGCTGTGGGTTGATTGCAGGTTTACTCACTAACGGTCCTTTTCTCTCGTATACAGAAAAAGCTTCCACTAACCACGTTAGCGCAATGTTTAGTGGATGGCTCTGTTACGCTGGGGGAAGACACCCTGCTTGGGTAAGTCACACTATTTCATTTCCTCAGCAATCCCAGCTGCTGTTATGAGCTTTGTCTCCTTCTATCTGTACACTGTAGTTTGTCACTCCTCCACCCTCACAGAGCCATGTCTCTGGAGTCTTAAGACATCCCTCTTAGAGTAATTAGCCTGCTGCACTAACACTGCCTCGCCTCACACTCCTGACCTTCTCAACATGGTAAATGTTTGGTCACAGAGTAGCACTGAAGATGTTGGCAACCTGAAGAGTCTGTTTAGCAGCTGTGGATGTTGTGTGTGAGAAATTGGGCCAGCAATTTAAATTGGCGAGGATAAAAGTGCAACAGAAGAGGTGTTTACTTAGTATAAAGGTCTTAGTGGTGGTGCCAAGGGTACTAAATTCATCACGGCAATTTCTTAAACTTTCCCTAAATTTGGAAGGCATGTTTGCACAGTTCTTACAAAGAATTAAGTTTTCCAAAATTTTACACCCTAACCCTTTTAAATTGTAAAAAAAGTGGTAAGGTTATAAGGGATTTCAAGCCTTTGGTATGAAGCTGTGCAAATCTGTTTATAGTGGGGGAGGGTTCTGAAAAATGAATATTGTGCACAAGGGATGATATATAGCAAATGGTAAAATCACTGTGGCCTGTATCATGCTCAGTCTTACTGCCAGTGTTTATTCTGTTGTAGTAAAGCATCATGGCCGCTCCCGTACATTCTGACAAAGTACACATGACGAGACTTGTGCAGTCCAATTACTGTCCAATGCTGTGCTGACAAATCACCAAGCATTGGAACTAATGAGACAAGCAAAGACAAAATGTTTGTGACATTGTCACAACAAGCTGCTTCCAACCCATCTGCAGACACTGCCTTTAGATGTGGCTTTGACGGTCAATTTATTTCAAGGCAACTGAGCATTTTAACACTTAGTGAACGGGCCAAATTGGTACACTGCGGTCAGTGTGTGGCAGTAAAACATGGCATTGTAAAATGATTGGCATTGGAAGTTGTGTAAAATTTCCACATGAGCCTAACCCTCAGGCATGAAGTGGAAAGCGACAGTTGCTATAGCCATCACAAATCGTACCAATAATATTTCTTCTGCGAGACTGGGAAGTATGCTGCAGCACTTGTATTGGGGTGGGTGCGTATTGGGGTGGGTGCGTGTGTAACGGGTCAGAGCCACATTTAATCTGTTTCCTCCCTGCAGGAAAATGCTACACATGTGCGGGAACACGGAGGATAGGCTTGCCCAGGAACTCATCCTCTTCGAGCTGCAGATAGAAAGAGATGTGATTGAGCCTCTGTTTTTATTAGCAGAGGTAAGAAACGCATCCTCGCCCACATCATTAGGCTATTCACCTGATTTCATATTCCCCAAACCACGTATGTGTGGGTGCAAGGCCATTGGTTTATTTGGGTCAGCTAGGTTATCTGATCAGAATTACCCTAATAACCCCACGTGAGATATCTGCTCCAATCGCATTCCTCTATTCTTTCCCCAAACCCTTCAATATTATCCAATTAATTACATTTGAAATGCAGATTCTGTTCTGTATTAGATACAATAAAAAATGACATTTGTGTAGCACCTTTCACGTCAGGAAGACATCCCAAGGCTCTGCCAGTTGGCAGCATCTTTGTCAGTAGTGCTTCGTACAACCCCATATTATACTTAGTTAAAAGTATAGAGATTGTTGACTGAAGTTCACCCCATTTCACTCTGTGCAATAGTGCCCTCGGGCTCCCTTTCTTCATTGCTTTTTCTCCAGTCTCCGGGATCAGTTGCATTCATTCAGCTCCTGAGAGACTTTGTTTTGTAATATTGTCCCAATGGTATGCCCATGAGCAGCTCTGTTCTTAGTTCCATTAGTTCCCAGCGAAACTGTATGTATTTTAGCTTCAATATTTTCATTAGCTACAAGCAGGCATTTCCTGTCATGGATGTGGCCGGGACTGGAGCTGTAGTGCCACGAGGCTGTGCACTCTTCCACAGATTGCAGGCTTGGCGTTTGATGCATGTTACAAATCCTAAATTACAAAATTGGGGTCGCCGAGAGTTCGACTACAAATGAGAATAAATATCTGAGGCTGCAGCTGCACTCAAACACGCCTCAACTATATGTCTGTGGTGCTGTCCTCGAGCTCAGTGACCTTCTGAAACCACCTCCATTAGAGGTTGCACCACAAGCCCATTCCCAATGGAGCAAAACATCTGGTCCCAGATAAACAAGAATGCAACAAATTCCAAGTATTTTCCCAAAGCCTAAACTCCAGCATGTTTACAGTTTCTGAATGACGCAGGCCAGTGTACAAGGTGGGACATGTACAATGAAATTGGAGGTGTTTGATATTCATAATGGATTGACATAGTTTAGCAATGGGCGGGGGTGAGCTGAATGCACCTGTCACTTAATGTCCTCCGCAAGACCTGCCATTGACAGCAGCCTTTTTAAATACTGCCCAATGTAGAGTGCATCAGTTCTTTTAAAAGGGAATCAGATAGATGTTTCAAAAAGTGGAACATTAAATGTTGTGGGATTGGATTAGGTGCCTCTTGTATAGAATTGATGGGTTGGATATCCATTTTCAAATGCAATGTCACTCTGTAATTCTATAAATTTGATTTCGCTCAGTTAACAGATACATCACTTTCAGCTAAATCTAGTTGAAGATTCAAAGTACGGAAAGAAGAAAGAAAAGAGCAACCCTACATTTTGCAACACATTTAACAGCTAGTCCTTTAAGACACTGGGGTTCTATGTGTGTTTTAATCAATGAATGATGGCTATCAATGATTCACTAACCTCAAGCTAATTTCTCATCCAATTGATAGCATTTCCTATATCTTATTGGCATATGCAAGATCCTGCAGGGAGCAGGTAACTTGCACCTTCATTTAAGAACCATGGTGGGTATTCTGTAAGGTTGAGATGAAATGACCATGGTGATCTTGTGCTCAGTAGCTCAGAATATAAATTAGTGGTGCACAGTAAAAGGAGGGTTGGAGCTTGTCTAACATACTCTGGTAAGCGAAGGCAACTTTAGGTGTAAAGGAGTAAATATCGAATAGGATTTGTCTGCTTGTTTTTCCTCAGACAGTCTAATTACAGGTGGAATAAAAGAAATTCATAGTTTTACCCTTCTCTGTTAGGTGGACATTCCTAATATCCAAAAACAGAGAAAACACTTAGCAAAGCTGGTTTTGGACATGGATTCTGCCAGAACACGGTGAGTGTGACTGGGAGCACGGGAGCATTTGGGGTTCAGTGAAATCGATTTCGTTCAGTGAGTAAATCCATCATTTTTAGCTAAATCTGTTGGAATATTCAAAATAGAGACCATCTGGGAAGTCACAGCCCCATTTTGACTTGATGAAGTGTACAGCTCCTACAGTATACACACGGCACAAATGAATCATTGAGAAAACAATAGGGAAAAGGCAGCGTTTGAAGCAGTATTTCTTCTACCAGTGGCTTTGAAGCTGTTAATACAACTTTGCGTACTGATGTTAAGGGCTTCTGCTGGAAAATCGTCATTTTATCCATGATGTTTCTGCAGCTGACAAATAGCACGTAGTTGCTGGGTGGAATATACATGAAATTTCATGACTCAGCAGCACAGCAGTGATTGCAGTATATTGCTATTTCCTCAAGGATGCCGGGCTACCAACAAACATTTGCATTATTAATCCAGCCTGACCAAGTAAAGAAAGCCCAGACTTGACAATTTTTTTTGGCAGCTGGATATTTAACGGATTCGAATATCTATCTCCTTGTTTAGAAGTTTCCAAACGACTTAAGTCTCCAAACCAGACAACAAAGTTCCACAAATGCATGGCTTCCCTTTTGTCTGGTGCAGAGTATAAACTCTTTCCCCTGAACATCCGACTCTGCTTATCTAATCCTGAAGTTTAGGCGCAGTTTGGCGGAGCCAAGGCTTGAAGATCCAGAGTGTATCATGGGGTACTGCTGGAATTTAACCAGCTAAGACTGCACAGCTTGACATTGGGAGCATTGACTGGCAAGCTTCATATTACTTGTACAGCTAGGAACACTCAATCAGTTAGCAGGCTTGCATGGTTTATAGAAGCTGAGTGGCAAGAATCCCATCCTCCAGTGACTTGGTTGCTCCTACAAAGTTACTCCTCTGTGGCAGTCTCTGTGGATGGTAGCCAACCTACCCTGAACAGTAACTGTCACAGAGCATCAACTCGATTCTGATCTTCCATTGCCTGGCATTTCACCTTGGGGGCATATAGACCACATGTATAGTCACTAGTTAGTCATTAAATATCTGACAAAAGCTAATTTCAGTACTTACTAAATAGCAAGTACCAGGAACACTTTGCAAACAGTATGGTCAACAGCGCAATTCAGCAGAGGCATGAAATTCACAAATGCCTTTCGTGTCATGTCTGCTCATGGAGGTAATATTACATCCCAGTCTGCTTCCTTTATATTCGGCTTATATATTTCAACCAATTTTTGCTGGCTCAGGTTTTATTTTGTGGAACTGCACACAGCAGAGTGTGAATCATTGTGGGATATTCCAGTACCAACCAGTACAATGGTACATAGTGCAAATCATTGTTAAAACAGTCCAATTGTTCTATGGAAATCACCTTCATATCTGGCATAAATCTGAACTAATGCCTAGAAAATGCATTTAGGACAGTATTGATTGTCACTCACACACTGGTCAACAGCATCCTAAATGCAATGCCTACATGCTGTCAGCATCTCAGGCCATTTGTGAAATACTTTCATCCAATACATGTGCAAGTTCCAGTTCAGGTCAGTGATATTGTGCTCCAGGCACCATATAAATAATTGACTTCCAGTGTGGAAAGGTTACAGCTCCCGCTGATTAATGCAGTTTGCAATTGTTTTTCCATTTCCTTTCCCAGAGTTAACTAAGTTGAGCTGGAATGGGTCACTGGGTGTACGAGCCTCTATCAGGCAGTGAACTGGAAAAAAATAATTTGGATGAAAAATATTCAATGCTGATTGAATGAAGGACTCTATGGTGTGACCCACTGGGGCTGGATGATGTTAATAAGAATTGTCAGCTCTTGCGCTATGCTCCTAATTAGAACTGTAAAGTAAGGCTTTGTTGTTTGAATTTTTATGTTTCTGAAATTTGTGGTGACAACAGAATATTGAACAGGACCTTCAAGAACTACTTCCTATAGTCTTGGGAGGGTGATCCAATTTGTAACATCTTACATTTAACTGCAACCTGCAATGTAAAATACCGCAGATCTTTCAGATGTTGCTGGTTCCTCACAAACTCGAACACAAGCTCCGGGCATGTTGAGCACAGTTTGTGGTACTCAGTCCGCACTTACACATTCAGAGTATAAATGTAATAAGAATAATATTAATAATAATCCTTGCATTTGATATAGCACCTTATCATGTAATTGAGTGTCTCAAGAGCTTCACAGAATAAACTGTAAAGTGAATTGCCAATGGCGTAGAGCAGTGTCCTACAAATAGTCGTGGATTGAGTGACCAAATTATTTTTTAAAATTTATTTTTGGAGGGATTATTACCCTCGGAAAGAGATCTGCCAATCGGCTAACAACCAGGTTCCTACTTACTGCTGAATAAACAGGTGTGTGGAGTAAGAAATCTTGCCTAATGTTTCGCTCTTCCAGGAATCGAACCTGGGTCCTCTCCCTTGCAAGCCAAATGCGCTACCCTGTACACTACAGGACGCCAAATCCTTCTATGGGAGCAGCAAAAAATAACTGCCCTGATCATTGTGGGACCAGACAGGTGTTTCTTCACAGGGCTTTGCTGCCCGTGAGCACTGACTGATGCCACATCACTAAATCACTCAGTTATCCTCAATGGCTGTTTATGAGCCATCTCCTACCGTGGCCTTTCACTGTTCTGTCCTGTAATTGCCTGACTGTGTTGAGCTTACGTGGCCTGATGAAATAACAGCACTCATTGTAACATTTAATCCTGTCAGACATTTCTTTGAATACTGATAGACTTGTGATTGCGCAAAAGGAAATGCTTCAAATGAAACCTGTAAAGACCAGTTTAGAAAAAAGCCTCAATGTAATCTTTTGTTAATGTTTAAAATGTTCAAATATTGTAAAATAGCTGACGTTCTATTTTGGATTATTTTCAATCAGAATAGCAAACACAGACAAACTGAAAGATGTAAGTAGCAAATGCTGCAGAGGATGGAGCCTGTGCTTTAAGTGATAGGAACACATTGTGATCTATGTCAGCTCATGTCCCCAGGCTCCTGGGTGGAACAAGCCCAGGAAGCTTGTGGCTGTCACCATTTTTAGGTTCACTGTTGCCGCTCAACATGTCTGAATTAAATATGAATGCGATGATTTTCGCCGTGACTTTTCTGCTGTATGATCACTTTATTCCTTCCCTCGGAATCTTACAATCCAGAATCTTGCAGTGGGACACTTAAAAAAATGTTGCATTTGGTAATTGAGATTAGGTACAACATGCAACCTGAAATAATCTTGTGAGCTCAGCTCAAAGCTGGCTATACATTGACGATGCTGGCAGTTGATGTGTGGAGGAGACCTGTAGCTTAGCTGCTATCCGTGCTGCTTCCCCATGATGTTTCCGACCCCGTCCCCTTCCCTCCACTACTCCCACTCAACCCTTCTCTCCCTCCACCTGCCACGACTCCTATCCCTTCCCGACCCCCCCACGGCTTCATGCTGCTCCTCCCTTCACATTCTCCATCATGCCCACCGTGGTAGACGCCGTCGGCTGTCATACAGCACCCACCCTGACTGCCCCTTCCCCCACTCTCGCCGCAAGGCCCACCGGCCCTCACTCACGGGAGCCAACCTTTCCTCCTTCACCCACATTCCCACCCAACCCATCTGCCCACCACCTTCCCCCCCCTCATCTCCCCCACACTCCCACCACTAACTGCCCCTCCACATCGGTCTGCAGAACATCCGCTTATTAATCAACCAGTTCCTCTCAATCCATGACCTCACCGTCGAGGAAAACATTGACACCCTCGCCCTCACTGAAACCTGGGTCACCCCAGGCGACAGCTTCCCACTAGTCGAGGCCACACCTCCGGGTTACACCTCTCACCAAACTCCATGGCCTAATCGCCGTGGAGATGGTGTGGCTCTCATCTCCCGGTCCCCCCTTGGCCTTTCCACTTACTCTTCCAGAACCTTCCCCTCCTTTGAACACCTTACCCTCTACCACCCCTCCAGGCTTTCCCTCAAAATTCTCCTTGTTTACCGTCCCCCCAAGCCTTCCCCACCTTCCTTTCGGACATCTCCACCCTCCTATCTTCCCTCTGCTCTGCACGCCTCCTAATCTAAGCGATTTCAGCCTCCAGTTCACTCCCTCCTTTTCTACCTCTGCTGACTTCTCTTCCCTCCTCTCTTCCCTTAACCTCTCCCTCCATATCCACTCCCCCACCCACAACCGTGGCCATCCTCTTGATCTGGTGATCACCCGTGCCCTCACCATCTCGGACATCACCATCACCGACAAAGTCATTTCGGACCACCACTTCGTCTCCCTTCATTACCTCCGTACGTACCCCTTCCCCCTTCTCAACCCTCCACCATCACATAATGTCCGTGGAAAAAAATGTCTTCCCTTTTCCTCTCCACTGCCCTGGAGTCGTCTGAACTCCTACCCCTCTGGCCCTCACTGACCGATCTACCCTCCTTGCTCTCTTTTCTCCACAACTCCCTCTCCATTCTAGACTTCCTTGCCCCCCTCACCTCCCGAACTGCCTCATACTCCCGTAAATCCCCCTGGTACACCAGCCATCTCTGTTCCCTCAAGGCACAAGTGCGAGCTGCCGAACGCGCCTGGACCAAATCCAAACTAACGGACTATCGGCAGATTTGGCTTCATCATACAAAGACCTACCCCTGCACTCTTGCCTCCGCCAAATCCTCCTTCTACTCCAAGGTTATCTTGGAGGCAAAGGACAACCTCAGGCTTCTCTTTTCCAACACAAACCATCTCCTCCGTCCACCTTCCCACGCCTCACCCATCCTCTCCTCAAACTCCAACTGTGAGGAGATGCTAGACTTCCTTGAATCCAAAACTGAGGGGATACGTTCAGCCACCTCTGCCCTGTCTGCCGCCCCCACATCACCTCTCCCTCATGACCCACACCCCACCCATCCTCCCCTATACTCCTTCAACCCTATCTCTCCCTCCTCCCTCACCGCCATCATTCCCAAACTTAAACCCATC